AAGAGCGTACAAGAATCACCTAATGTACTACGATAATCATTCAAAAGTCGTGTTTAATTCATTAGTGTCTTATGTAATAAAAAATGCCCAGGTTCATAAATCATGCCCTATGAAATTCTAAAGTTTATTTGCCTCAGTGCATATGCAGATCTTTAAGTCATTTTTCTGCCAAAATTTCCTTCAACATTCCAAATATTTACAGAACAAATTGACTTCGATCGGACAGTTTTTTTTTATTTTTATATTAAAGACAATAGTAGCATGTTGCCAAAATGAGATATCGCTGCAAGCAATATCGAACATTTATGGAATATAACTTCGATCCAAACATTCACTTGCAAACCAAAGATGAAATTAATTATGCTCTTGAATCTCTGTCTACTTCTATAGTTGAAGCAAGAGCTGCCTCAGTACCAAAATGCGAGGTTAAATTTGATTCAATTATAATAGAAGACGATCTTCAGCTCTTGATCCGTCTTACAAATGTCCGTAGGAGACAATATCAAACAACACGCAATCCTGCCATCGAAGTTATCTGGCGGGATTTGCAGAATCAAATTGAAAAGCAATTCTCTGCCCTGAGGAACAAAACTTTTGAAAATTATGTTTCTAAATTAGACCCAAGTTCCATACCCTTTTGGAAACTCACAAAAATTTTGAAAAAAAAACCTCGAAAGCCTATTCCAGCGCTTAAGGGGAAGTTCACCGCACCGAAAAAAAATTATTACGTTTTGATTTTTTCTAAAAATATTGGGAAAAGGTATCAAAAATCTAACAAAATCACATTTTTTCTAATTTCTAATTTCACGTGAAAAAACATTTTTAATAAGTCATTATGGCATAAAGTTGGACTCAAAAAACCACAAAACATCGACTTTTCGGTTTAGCTGAGAGTCCATTTTTTTTCATGATGGTATAGAAAAAATATGATTACATGTAATTTTCGTCAAGAATCTTACGAAGAAACTGATTTTATTGGATTTTTGATAATTTTTCCCAACATTTTTAGAAAAATAAAAAGGTGTCAAAACTAAATTTGAATTTTCGGACAAATTTGGAAAAAGCTCAGAAACTTGCTAAGCAATTCGAGAGTTCCCATAATTTCAGTTTGGGTCTTACTAGTGATATTGAGAATCAGCTGAAGCTTCTAGCTACCGTCCAATAAGTTTGCTTTCTTCAATAAGTAAACTTTTTGAAAAAATAATTTTGAATAGAATGATGCGTCACATCAATACGATCTCAATTTTTGCAGATGAGCAGTTTGGATTTCGCCATGGACTCATTAACTCTTAAGAGTTATCAATTTAATTCGTTCAAACAAATCTGAAGGCTACTAAACTGAAGTTGCTCTTCTGGACATAGAAAAAGCATTCGACAGTGTTTGGCATGAAGGTTTTATTGCTAAATTGAAAAAGTTTAATTTTCTCCTTTATATTATGAAATAAGTTCAAAATTATTTAACTAACTCTGCAGGTAAATTATCAAAATTCCAAATCTGATCGACTACTTGTTAGAGCAGGAGTTCCTCAGGGTAGCATTCTTGGGCCTATAATGTATAACATTTTCACTTCGGACCTCCCAGATTTGCCTCAGAGTTGCCACAAATCTTTGTTCGCTGATGACACAGGCATTTCCTAAAGTCTTCGTGTTATTTGCAGCAGACTGCAGACAAAACTCAACTTATAATATTTCCACATAGGCGTAGAGCTTCGTTTTTGAAACCTACATAGTAGTAGTCACATAGTCACTATGAACGGAGTTCCAATTTCCTGGTCAAACCAAGTGAAATATCTTGGATTAGTACTTGACCAAAAATTAACTTTTAAAGATCACATTAAGGGGAAGTTTACCGGCCCGAAAATAAATAAAATATTTTCTGTACGTTTTTATTTTTCTAAAAAATTTGGGAAAAATTATCAAAAATCCAAGAAAATCAGTTTCTGTCTTAGATTTTTGTCAAAAATTACATGTAAAAATATTTTTTCTATCTCATCACGAAAAAAAAAATGGACTTTCAGAAAAACCGAAAAGTCGATGTTTTATGGTTTTTTGAGTCCAACTTTATACCATAATGACTTATAAAAAATGTTTTTGCACGTGAATTTTCTTTGAAAAATTAGAAAAAATGTGATTTTGTTAGATGTTTTATACTTTTTTTCAATTTTTTAGAAAAATCAAAACGTAATTATTTTTTTTTCGGAGCGGTGAACTTCCCCTTAAGGGCATTCAAGCCAAATATAACAAACATATAAAATGTTTGTATCCTCTTATAAACAGGAAATCCAAACTTTGCCTGACGAATGAACTTCTAATATTTGAACAAGTTTTTAGAATTTACGCTTTACGCTTACGCTGTGCCAATATGGTCTAGTTGCTGCACCACCAGGAAAAAAGCACTTCAAAAGATTCAGAACAAAGTTCTGAAGATGATTTTGAAGTTGCCTCCCTGGTACAGTACTACAGAGGTACTGTACCAAGATAAGATTTAGTTTTAGATTTTAGTTTTAAGATTTCAATTGTTATACTGACATGCAGGTATAAAAAACCTGTTTAAAATACTGAATTGCCAAGGCAGGAACAATGTAAAAACACTTAGATATATATCATAACAATTCAGGCTGGTAAGTTACTGTAGTAACTGGAGCACCTAGGTTAAAAATGAAATGTAATTTATTTTGAATTTGGAAGAAATAAAGAGTTAAAAAAAAGATATTGCTGCATGAATACGATTAAATATTTTCTAAAAAAGCAGCATTGGTTGCCAACACCATAATTCTAAATGTCCGACAACTGTCATCCAAAATGTTTAAACAATATAGAACAAAAATAATTGTTTTATCTCTGGTTATTTATTTATTTATTTCTTTATTTATTTATTTATTTATTTATTAATTAATTAATTAATTTATTTATTTATTTATTTATTTATTTATTTATTTATTTATTTATTTATTTATTTATTTATTTATTTATTTATTTATTTATTTATTTATTTATTTATTTATTTATTTATTTATTTATTTATTTATTTATTTATTTATTTATTTATTTATTTATTTATTTATTTATTTATTTATTTATTTATTTATTTATTTATTTATACTTATTTATTTATTTTCGTGTTTGATGAATGCAATGAATAAATAAATAAATAAATGAGCTAGTAATAGCGATGATAACAACACTGTTACGTTCTGTCATGACAACAAAACCGATGAGATTTTTAAGTAAATCTCTATCATCATTTTCTCATCCGATGATAGTGACAGAAGTATTTCTGTAAACATCGCGTGAGATCTTTCATTGAAAATGACATTTACCAGCCCTGATCTCAATAAACAAATGTTGAAGTGCTCAAATAAATACCCATGAAGAAAAACAATAAGATGAAGAAGTAAGGAAAATGTGTTGGATTATTTTATGGTGTCGACTTTTTATATTGGGGCAGCTGTTTCACTAATAGTGGTTTACCTATGGTTGCGGTATGGGTTTTATGTTGGAATTATGGTGTTAATCCAGATAATTTTTATTTTTCATCGGTAACTCTCCTAAAATAAAGTCGATTTGCAAATTTGAAACTTTAAATTAGCCCAAAACTGACGGAAAGCAATTAATTTCCCCTAAAATTTTAACTCCTTTTATAGTTTCAGTGTAGTGCTCATATAATAGTGGAATTAATTAGAAACCAATGCTTTCCACTATTATAGGAACCAAAGTTAGCAACTACCACAAGTACGTGTTCCTATTTATGGAGAACGAGTTTTCGAAAAAAGTAAGCAATGAAATATTTTTCTAGCAAACTAAAGGTTATAGGTAGATTGATTAATAAAAATGGTATGCAGATTGTTTATTTATTATGTTAATAAATAAATTGCCTAAGTTCCTCAACACTGGCTCACTTAACATATTTTTGTTTTCCATTGTCCTCTCGTCCTAATCTGATTTTTAGTCTTTCAACTTTTTATCGCAGAATCCGAATGGCAATTCAAGCTCTATTTCTCCTGTTTCTCCTTATAAAGTTAGGATTGTCCATAAACTAATTAGAAATAGTATATAAATGGAGCAAAACTGCAGCAAAAAGCGCTGTGTTGTGCTTCATTTGTATAGAGCAAACACCACGTATTTTTCTGTCTGGCGAAAAACTTAAGATTTCAAAAAGCACGCAATAATCGGTGATCCATATTCATAAACAATTTTTCTAGATCGTTCCTTGTTGATTGTGATGCTAATCCATCCGTTTGTTGCACCGCACTTCAGTTAGTCGAACATCTTGAAACTGTTAGAAAAACACGCACTAAAAACCCGTTTCCAATTCTAGCCGTTATTATCACGCACTTGATTTCTATACTTAACTTGCAACGATGGCCTTCAAAGCGCAGTTTTCTTACGGTACATTGCACATACTCACCTTGTTTCAGTTATGGCGTTTTATAGACGTTCAAACAGATTGGTTCGTTGCCTGTTGGTTTTGCTCGTCATATTAATGTTTCTAATGACGTCTACAGTGACATTTAATTGAAAACAAACCTGAGATACTATTTAAATACATACGAATACGGACCTCAGGGCATTGGTATTAAGTTGCATCAGCAAAATCAGAAGAAAGATGGTCTCTGTGTTACAGATATTTGCTGATTCATGGGTATTTCGATGTCTATGTTTGACGTTTCATGCTATTCAATGTTGTCGCTGTACATTTAGATTTTCACTATGCACAACTACAACAGTCCACAGCAAACAGCTGATGAGACATCGATGAAGCTATCACGGTTGATAATCACAGCTCAGTAGTGGCTACTTTCGCACTTTTTCTTCGCTTTCGTTTTTGTGTTGTTTTCCTAAATTCCCGTTATATCACTCGTTCAATATTTTATGATAAGTTGTGAACACGATATACGTTCCAGCATCACAAACACTTCGGTGGGCATGGCATAAATAAATCGCTATCTCATTTATGTTTTTCCAATGAGAATAAAGGGAAAAATAAACTTCACACTTACGGATGAGTCACGACCGGCAATTTCTATCCACACAGCGTCTGAATCGTCTGATTACGTAGCACAAACTGATCTGAGTTCCTTGCGCAAATAGACTTTATAGAGAGCTCAAGAAAGAGAATAACGTATAGCTGCTATACTCATTACTCGGTGTGTTCTCACTGACCATCGACGAGACGGCAAGTTCATCCATCTAGCTTGTGATAAGGTTGTGGGAATACATCACTAGCCAGCAATATTTTTTTTAAGATTTATGGAATATTATAAACAAGCTATGAGTGTTTAAAAATATTCGCTTGATTTTTTTCGCTTTATAAACTGAACATTGATCATTATTTTATAGAATATCACCTTGGATTTTACTACAAAACAAAAACGCTCAAAATTTTGGACGTCGATGGAAACACCCTTATTTTCGATAATCGTTATCTTGAACGCCTTTACGTGTAGGCAATCAACACGGTCCACGTATTACATTCTTATCCTACCGTTGTACTCCTGTCGTTGATTAGAAGAAATCAGTCGCAAAAAATCGCAGCAATAAAGCAAGTAGCTAATGTGAACTGCATTCGATCACAAAATATTTTAGCATTTGAAAAATATGTTCTCTTTTACAATAATCAGTTTCGGCTTGGTAGTCTAGCAATCACTCACCAGAACAAATTAATTTTGTAATTTGTCCCTACGTTTCGGCTCTGATTAGGGCCAGATTACAAAATTAATTTGTTCTGACGAGTGATTGCCAGACTGCCAAGCCGAAACTGATTATTGCAGAACCTCACAGTCGATCACTCCAACACAATATAGTTCTCTTTTACAACAATGCTATCCAAAGCCAAGGTTTCGAAGTTTGAGCGGTAGTAATTTTAATGTTAAATATTTCGAATGAATGATAATTATTGTGGAATAGCTCGGAAGTACAAATTAATACCAGGAGGTAACATACCAGTCGAAAAAAGCATTCGAATGTTTACGTTCCAATGTTTGAACATTTTTTTCATTTAACAATTCATCTGGAGAATTTTGAATCGTCATGGTTTGTAAACTGTTGCTTGAGTGGGTTTTAATAATTATTATTATACAAATGTTATCAATGCTTGCTCAAATAAACGATTTGCATTTGAAGCGTATGTTTGAATCACAAAGGTTTTTTTTACTTTGGAGCTTGCGGTATTTTATGAATTTATGAGGAATTTATAAATAACTTTATAATTTAAATATCATAAGTTTATATGTGGATGTTTTGGGGGGGGGGGGTGGATGGGGATTAGACTGGCCAACAAAAATAAAAGTTCTAATTTTCCACGGGCCAACCTCTAGATTTGTGCTTTTAGGTGAGAAAACCATTCTCTGAAAGTTTTAGCTCCTTTGGTTGTAGGATGAGCTGGCGCTTTTAGTTTGAATTTTGTCTATAGAGATTTTGGATAAAATATATCAAAAAATGACACTCCTACACTCTATCAATCATAAAAAAGTTTCCTTATTATCGATTTGATTCAGATTTTTAAAAACTTATAGTTTAGTTTATGAGTAACAACTTTGCTGAAGATTGGATCATGAATCCAGTTAGTTTTATTGAGATATTCGCTTTTGAATGTAAATGAAAATTTCAACCAAATCTCTTGTGGAAAATATTAACTTTTATTTTTAGTGATAATCTAGTTGATACAGTTGCATACGCTACCTGTATTTTATTGCAATATACGAACAAAATACACTTATAAATTCAAGAATGAATAACTGCATAATACTAGCTTGAATCATGATGTTGTCTTCAGTAAAGTTGTTTCCTATAGTTTCCTATATATTTTTGCAAATCCCGTTAGACAACTTTGCATGGCAGCATCGTGTGTTCTTTGATATTGCCTTCTATGGACATTTTTAACACGGATCAAGAGCTGAAGATCGTCGTCTATTATAATTTAATCGAATTTAACCTCGCATTTTGGTACTGAGGCAGCTCTTGCTTCAACTATAGAAATAATCAGAGATTTAAGAACATAAATTATTTCATTTTTAGTTTGCAGAAGAATGTATGGATCAAAGATATATTCCATAAATGTTCGATGTTGCTCCCAATCAGCTCTAAGGTAATTGAAAGTAGAGCTGTTGGGATTAGACATTATTTCTTGGGATATTTCAAAAGTTACTGGAAGGTGATTAGAACCGAAGTCAGCATGGGTAACCAATTGGCTACAAAGTTGACATGAAAAGCATGTTGGGCTGTTTGGATATTGAATAGTGCAATAACCTGCCGAACAATCATCAAACAGAATATTACCATTGGAATTGCTTTGAGCATTATTCCATGAGCGGTGTTTTGCATTAAAATCACCAATAATGAAGAATTTAGACCTATGACGGGTAAGTTTCTGAAGGTCACCCATGAGCAAATTCTTATGTTGGCGTACGCATTGGAATGGCAAATAGGCAGCTATAAACATAAGATGTCCAAATTTTGTTTAACAGAAAGTCCCAAAATTTAAAAAATATTAAGAAAAAATTTTAAGTTTGATACGTCTATGAAAAATGGTGGCAACGCCACCACAGGCTCCATCAAGACGATCATTTATTTAAAAATTCCATTTTAGGAGCAGTAATGCTTCCTAAGTTAAAATTATCAAAATTTCCGTTAGAATTATGTTGGCTAGTATTTTGATTTCTCCCCGTTGCAATTGCAGCATAGGTAGCTCCATTTCGGCGCCGGTGGTGTAGTGGTAAGCGTGATTACCTCTCACCCCAGCAGACCTGGATTCAATCCCAGTCGGCGCCGCCGGGATGTTCTGAGGTATTACATCTCTGATCACGCCTTCCTTCGGGGAAGTAAAGCCGTTGATCCCCGGTTCATGAGTTGATGGGTCCAGGTGTGGGATCTGCTTCCCTGGCGTCGGTAGCATTGGTGCTCAGCACGGAAAACAAGATCGACGGAAAACAAATCAAGGAAAAAAGAACAACCGATGCAACAGCTGGTATTTATTAGGGCAGTTGTTGCAGAGGTGTGTATTGCTGGTTTCGGAGCGATCATGCCAGGCAACTTCATCGAACTGGATTGAGAATGGTTACTCATCTCGGAAACCACAGACTTTAAGATGCGGATCCTCTGATACAGGAATTCCACCATTTACTCGTAGGTACTTCACACTATCCTCGCTTGTCTTCTCGTCGAAAGCTTGCAGAGTTGTCGGGTCAAGTGTGTATGCCAGCATGTTCGTCAGTGGTGTGTCCCAGTTATTGATAGGATCGCCTAGCTTCGCAAGCGCCTTGACGAGACACTGGAAGTCATCAACCAGATCGTGTAGGTCCTGTGGCGATTCCTTGAATACCGGCGGAAGGTCGTACAATGCTCCGAAGGGTTGACGTTTGAGGAGTCATTTGTTTTCATACCGTCTCAAAAGTGTATCCCAGCCCGAGCAGGAACGAATATCTCGATACTTTAAATTGGTATGGATAATCATTACATAAGAGGAAAAATACCAAAAACTAATACCCAAAAATGTTCTCACAATACCATTCCAATACCAAATTTTGCAAATGCAATACCAAAACAATACCACACAGGTATTCTGTTGGTATCCAAATATCAATTTTGGTTATTTACAAAGTATTTTGCATGCAATTTGGTATTATTTTTTGGTATTTTGGTCATGCTGATCAACACCAAATTTTGGTAACAGATCAGAATTAGGTATTCATTAGTTATTCGATGCTTTCGAAGGGCGTTTTGGCCTCACTTTCGAGCGATTAAATGAGATATTGAAGTTTGGCCACCGTTGGGATGTCGTTGTTGCTATGGACCATCAACTGGAACGTATCCCGAAAAGCCATTCATCGGGAAAAGTCACCATCGAATTTAGGAAGGTCGATCTTCGGAAGACGGATATGAAAGACCGATGCTTGCTGTTGAGCCATCGTAGTGCTGATCCACGGATCGTTTCGAGAACAGAAACCCTTTTGCAACGCAGTAGCGATTCTCGAAATTGACTCGTTCCGTGAGATGATTGTGATGGAGACCACAGCCTTCTCGTTCCTAGACATCTTGACCACTCACACTAATCAACAATGGGAATAACACGCGAACCGAACCCGAAAACGAAACGGTATCTCTCCTTCCCGACGTGGACGCAACGTACAACTCCTTCCCGTCGCGAAAAAAAACATGATTCTCCTTCCCATCGTGGATGAACTTCTTCAATAAATCCGTTTAAAATTTATATTTGATTCAAATTACCAAATTGAATACGACCACAATCTATAAAATAGGAAAAAATGCTCTAAATTATCAAAAAAAATGTTTAAAAAGGTTGTCACTTGTCTTCAGAAAATAGATCAAATCTTACAAGGAACTCTCCAAAATGCAGCAAATAAGGTTAAACAATATCATAATCAATAAATCACAAAAAGAAACTTTCACCATTGAAATTAATCACGGATTTGCGATTTCGTGGTATTTCAGCGCACGCGAAACTCAACGCCACCACTTACCTGCCGCGAATCTTATCCCACAGTGTAACAGAAATGGTCGTCATTCATCAAACACTTATGTGGTGTTTACTTCTGTGCTGATTTGCTGGCGCTAGTGTACTAGAACTGTACTAAAAAGTAGCCAGCATAATGTAAACAGGAAGTCAGCAGCCCATGATGGGCTGATTACACTTATTCTAGTTTACTAGCTCAGCCAACTCAACCAACTAGTGTGACTTTCAGTTGATTATGAAATCTCATACTGGTAGATGCTGACGCCCTGTTTGCATTATGCAGGTTACTTTTTTGTACAGTTTTAGTACACTAGCGCTACTGATCCAGCGTAACACCACAATGAACGATCGAGTAGTTAGCAGTAAGGTCTACAGTGCACACGTCCGTTTTTGCTGTACTGTTGACCGAACGGATCACACACACAATACAATAGATCACCACTTTGCACTGGAGATGCACGAATATTGTCACACACAAAACCATTTGTTCTCGTCGGGGGAGCCGGGATTTTGCAAAGGCTAATGGAGTGTTTACAAAGGCAAAAGCTGCAAAGTTGCAAAGGCTAATGGAGCTGCTAGCAAAAAAGCTCACAGCATAATGTAAACAGGGCATCAGCCTCTACCAGCATGAA